ATTTTTTAACAAAGATAAATTGTAAAGCTATGAATTTACTATGAATTCAAGTTTTGTGGCAACTCAAAAACTTTTGTCAAGTAATCTGCTAAAATTTCCATTATTTTTAAATTTTTCTTCTACATAATCTAGAATTGGAATTTTCATGTTTTTGCTATTTAAAGGTTATTTAAGAACATATTTTTCTGTTTTCCAAGTATTAGATTTTTTTGAGTGTGAATTTTGGTAACTATATAGATTGCTTTTACTAAAAAATTATTGTAACAATTTTATTCTTTGAAATTTCTATTGTTTACTCTATAAAATTATAGTTGATTATTTTTCTTAAATATTTGTTAAATATTAAAATAAAATGTAAAAGTGCAAATTTTTTAGGAGTTAATATAAAAAATTTACTAATTCAGAACTGTCAAATAATTTATTCAAGTCTTTTAAATATACATTATTTTCCTTTACTTAATTTATTTTAAATATTTCTTCATCCAATATGAATGCCATTTAAAACTATAATGACTTATTTTTGCTCTGATATCCATGCTGTCTAGACTCTGTATTTAGAGCTAACACTATTTGTTTTGTCTTGCAATTGTCTAAATTATGCTTCTTTGGCTCCTCTTTCATCTTGTATAAGCATTATGTCGTTTCATATGTTTACAGGCCCTTTTCATTTTCCTAGTGTTTTTTATAAACTATGCTTTTACTTTGCTTTCAATTATTTCTATGATTAGGAAATGTATCCCATTGGTTTGTGTTGGCAAATATGGTCTGCAGATTCTATGATTTTGTGGACTACACTTAAGTAGAGAAAATTGCAATTAAATTCAACTAAATTCTAATTAAATTAAGACTACCCTATCCTCTTTACAATTCAGTTTAGAAACCATGGTTATTATACCATTACACAGGTGTAATACAATCTATGGGCAATAAGAAAGATTTAGACTATTTGCATTTGCCCTGAACATTCCTTGTTACATTAGTGCATATCATAGTTTATGTAAAATGTAGCCTGAAGCAGCATACAACATAATACTCTTTTTCATGATGCCATGCCAAAATGCTATTTAATAAAAGTATGATCAAGAAAATAAGACAAGAATAGAGCATGTCAGAAACATAAACAGCTGTGTTTGCCTCAAAAAAAAATGGATAGATATAATGGTGATAACATAATTTGTTAGGCACTTACTATGTGCCAGACAACGTTCAAAGGGCTTTAGAAATATAATTAACATGGTTTATCTTCACAAGATAACTTGCAGTTAGGTATCAGCAATATCTAAATGTTAGTCATATGTAAAGGGAAGCCACCTTTGTACTCATTTAGGCAAAGACACACAAATAATCCTGAAATTGTCTCACTTATCTCACATCCAATCTATCAGCATATAATGTTGATTCAAAATACAGAATATAGTTACACATAACATATCTCTAAAATAAGTCTTTCCAGGCAGTTTTTTAAAGGTAAATATAGTAAAAATTGTTTCAGAAAGTTAAAAATAAATGTATGGGCAAATGTGCATTTAGGTAATACAAATGAAAACAAAACATTGGTTGTCATTTTAATGTAAAAAATGCAGATTGCAGGAAAGATTAAAATAAACAAAAAAGGATACTTTGTATTGATGGATTTCAATTCATAAGGAAAACTTAAAGGTAAGTGTTATCTGTGCAAATAGTCATGTAGCAACAAATATTCTAAAACAGGAAACTTCTCACAGAGGAAATGAAAAGACAAAAATACATGACTCATACCAACATTAGGAAAGCCTAATACACAGCAGTTAAACTTTTTTAATCAAGAAAACATTGAAGAGGACTTAAAAACTTAAAGCACTCATTAAATATGATTATTTTATAGAAATTAATAGATAAATATTAAGCATTGACCATAAATAAGAGAGATTTCAGTTTCTTTTCAAGTGTACTTGCAGTATGTAAAAAAACTGCCATAATTAGTGAAAACAATATTCTGAATTCAGAATATTTAAAAATTTTATTCTTTCTAGAAATGAATGACAAAAACATTTTCAGTTACAAATAATTATTTCAGTTAGGCATTTAAAGATAAGTTACTAAACCACTCCCAAGTGAAAGCGAAATAAGAAAAATACCAGATAGATCTATAGCAAAAATATGACATATTTAAAACATGGGGAATGTCACTGACATAGTGTTCCTTGGAAACTCCATATCCAATACAGAAGACTAGAAAAGAAGGACAAAATAGACTAATGAAAAGAAGAGGAAAATATTTAAAGGAAATACTAAACCAGAAAATCTAAGCAATAACTAA